AACTGAATGAATAGGTTCATTCTTCTGGCATGAGACAACTAAGGGTTCTATGAGCACAAATAATTTTCTAAGTTCTTTTATCTCCTGACTAATAATCACATATATCCATGGAGTCCAGCGTGACAGGATGAGGGTAAATGGCACATCTGCCGCATCGTTTCTCAGTTATCTGTGTTGGGAACATTCAAAATCCCTCCCTCGGGCTATTTTGAAACACGCAATTGCTATATTTTAAGATCTGTCCTTTTTATTATTCAGAGGCTTAGCTGTACAATAAAATAAAAATTGCTATCTCAAGGTCAAAACTATATTGAGGATGAATATCTTTTAATCTCTACATTGTCAGGTAAGATACAATACACCATAGGTTATTTAAATGTGAATATTTAAAGTTCAATGTATTAAAATGAAATGAAACTAAAAATTCAATGCCTAGCCACGGCTATATAGCACACAATTAAAAGTCATATGTGCCTAATGGATACTCATTTATATATAACCAGAATGTTTTGCCAAATAGCATTGTCGATGACAGACTGGAGTGCCTGGTATCACTTCTCAGCTAATTTTATTTGATTAGTACAGACCATTATAAAGTCATTGGCAAAATCAATCTCCAATTTAGAATCTAATGCAATAAAATTAAGAAATCTTATTTTGTAATTATTTAGGTTCATTACTCCCAAGCAAATTCTGTAGGCTGCCATGTGTGTATTTCTCAGATCTAACATTGGGAAGATTACACAGTATCATATGTTTGATGGACAATTGGTAAATTGAAACGTGTAAGAGATTCCCCAAGCAATCGTTCCTCAGTAGAATCATATACAAACTATGATTTGGTCCAGATTCCTCAATCATTGTCTACACAGCAAAAATGACACTCGAGTGTCACAAGGAATCATGATGTATATGGCTTAAGTAAATTGTCAAAAACTGTAAGGATAATCACTTAGATTAGATTTTCCAGTATAAAAAAATTGTATCTAAATTTTCTACGTTAACATCTAACTCATCCCTCAGCTCACTGGACCTGAATGTCAAATGTTCCCTCTTCCATGACTTACTTGATCCTGGGTGACGGTGATGCAGCTCTTTCTTCTGCATACCAGGACATCTAATTCAAGCTCGGCAGGGTGGTAGCATCTATGCCCAAAGAGAATCACAGGAAAGCAATTCCATGTAAGAAACTAGCCATTTCCCAAATCATGCCTTCTCTGCCTCTGTGGACCCCACTTTCATTTAATACTATTGGAAGATTTTCAGTGTACCTCCTGAGAATGCCTAAGGAAATGTGAGTACAAAATCTAGCTCTCATCTCAAGAAAAGAATGAGATTATTTATTCTATGGGAAATATAAGTGGCCGTATCTTGGTAATACAAATTCAGGTTGCCCCAAACACCATGTTCCAACATAGAAATGATTCCATGAACTGTTATAGTCAAAAAAAAAAAAACAAAAGAAAGTCAAAAATCAAATATCCCTTTTGAAAGTTTTCTACTGATGACATTCGTTAGGTATGTTATAGCAAAGCAAGGAGGTCTTATAGGTTTTTAATGCTGCATGATGACAGTCTTAATTTTTATTGGATAGGAGCTAGTGGTTTGTAAATATCTTCCAAAATTTGTACCTAATAATTGAAAGGATGTTAGGTCAGACACAGAGGTAGGCAATAAATGGATATTAAAAGAACTAAAGGTAGTCCAGGATTTTTTCAGACCCAGGCCAGCTGGCCTTGGTGAGTTCCTGATCTGAAAAAGCCTGGGTTAAAACCGGTCTCGCTGAACATAGCGGACAAGGAGGACTACTGAGAACTCAAGAACAATGGCAATGGGTTTTTGAACCTACTGCACCTATTGGTTTTGTGGGAGCCTAGGCAGTTTTGTGGATGCTCACCTTACTAGACCTGGATGGAGGTGGGTGGTCCTTGGACTTCCCACAGGGCTGGGAACCCTGATTGCCCTTTGGGCTGACAAAGGAGGGGGACTTAATTGGGGGGAAGGGGAGGGAAAGGGGAGGCAGCGGTAGGGAAGAGACAGAAATCTTTAATAAATAAATAAATAAATAAATAAATAAATAAATAAAGGAAAAAAAAAGATAGTCCAGGATATTTGTCTCTGAATATGCCTCATAACACACTACCATCAGGGAGTTCTAATCTATCATCAGCCTAACAACCTTTAACATAGATATGGCTTTCTGCAACCTCAGTTCTTAAGGGGGAATCTTTTATTCCAACTCTTACAACCAGGATAGATTTGAGATCGTCAACACAATTAAATCTTTTAAGATGAAACTTGTAGCTTCATTTGTATGTGAAATTTTACATATTTCTTAGATTTTGAGATGCTCTACTTGAAAAACTTCATCTTATAAAAGATATTGCTTTTCTCTCCCTCATGATTGCTCAAGAATCTGGACTTACAATGACACATACAATATGAGAAAAGTGTTCAACAAACTGATCATATGCCATATGCCTATGAATAGTGATTAGAATTGGTTACCCGCCCCAAGAACATCTGTCTCCATTTCCTGCCAGCATATTTAGAGCCACAGAGTCATTGTCACCTGGATCTTGATTCTGTTTCTCTTTATTAGCATGCTTATTTAAATCTCACTTTAAATTTATACAGCTATGAGCATGTGAGCCCACAAGTAATCAAGACACCATGGTACGTTTTATAGTACTGCACTGCTCAGTCTCCCTCAAATTAAAATGCGGCTTCGTGGCAACTCCATTATTCAAAAGCTCCCAGCTTGTTAAAAGGGTTTCCAATGAAGATCTTCGAAATCATCCATTTGGTACTATGCTTAGCCAGGTACTTGCCGTACATGCATGATGACCTGAATTTGATTGCCAGCACCAATGTTAAAGAGCTGGGCACAAGCCATGTGCATGTAATCCCAGATCTGGAGGCTTTCTGGAGCATGACAGCCAGCTAGTACAACACAATAAACCATCTCCTAGATTAGCAAAAGATACTGTCCTAGTTAGTAAGATAAAGAGTGATTGAGAAAAATCCACCTATAGTCTACACACACACACACACGAAAACTCTAATTTTTACTTTGGGAGCTGTTACTTCATTTTTATTGTTGTTGTTCCTGTTATTGCTATGATACCCAAAGAAGAACATCTAGTCCCCAAGAACAAGATGGGATGCCTTCTACCACGCTTCTTACAACTGAAGAATCTCTTGGAACAGTGGAGAACATTCTTCATCTGGATTCAATAAGCCACGTACTGTGCTCATGCACTAGCTCACCGCAGCTGTGAGTCATGTCAGAAGACACAAGAAAATGTCTCCACCACAAGCTCTCCTCGGCCTTCAGAAGACCTAGACACCAGATGCCACTTCTTTAACATGTGTATGTGCTTCACTTCAAATCTGCTAAATACATACGTGTCAAAAAGCATCACCGAAGGGATTGTGACCCCATATAGCATTCGTTACTGAAACCCTGTCTCGAATAACCAAAAATCAAAATAATAAAATAAAATAAATTATCCAATTTTTCTTTAAAAACATTCTTTGTAAAGTTCAATAATTCTACTGTGAGCCTCTGAGCCAGGGAACATTCACAGTCAGATAAAAGCAAAACTAAACTCTTAACAGTATAAATAACACCATGTCCAGTGTCTGGGATCTACTTAGGATCTGGGCTTTTCCAAATGGTTCCTCCAGTCCTGCCTTCTGCAGTACAAATAGTTTGTTATCTAAGCTCGATAAGGCTCTACTCCCCTGCTGCTGCTGCTCTAATCATCCCATGATCCTGGCATCTTCAAAATGCTGCCGTCTTCTGCTGCAATTACACTGGACGTTCACTAACAGCCCCTCATAGGCTTTCTTCATGATGCTAAGCTTCAATTTCTTTGCATGACCCCTTCAGTCCTGGGCCTTCAACTGCCACTTGGGTTGCACCTTAAGCAATGGCCTCTCCTGGCCTCTCCCAGTGCCAAGCCTCAGCTGCCTTCAAAACAGTGTTTGGGAGGGATATAGGGGATAGGACGGCAGTGAATAGTCAGAATGCATTATACATTCATGTGAACTTGTCCAAGAACAAATTTAATTAATAAAAATAGAATTCAGGCAGTATACACCCAACACTTAGCTTCTTTTTCTCAGTATTATGTTTATGATATTCATTCATGGTTTTTTGAATATAACTATAAGATCAATATATTTTTCAGAATGTAGTTTTTTATATGTGACTATTATCCACTTTATTTAGGTTGATGTACATTTGTACAGTTTTTAGATTGGGAATATTAATGTAAATGTTGCCAATACTATTTTTTAGGTCTGTTTTCTTCAGAATTACATATACTGTTCTGACAGGTATATGTCTAAGACTGAAACTGTTGCACCAAAAGATACACACATTCAATTTTCAAATTAGTTTTTAATTTTCAAATATTTTAATTAAGATATAATTGTATCACTGTCCTCTTTCTTTTCCTCCCTTCAGTCTTTCCTAAGCCCCCCTCCTCCAACTCCATGTCCCCCCTTACTCTCAAACTGATAGCCTCTTTTTCTTTGATTATTGTTGTTGCCCATATATGTATATGTATAAACATGCAACTAAATACAAATACAACCTGCTGAATCTCTTTTGTGTTATTTGTGTATATACGGTTTCAGGACTGACCACTTTGCGTTGGATAATGGTTAGAACGTGGTCCAGGAACGGGAGTCGTGTGAGGAGAATTCTGAGTGCTTGTGAGAACATGTCAAGAAAACAAGACAAGAGTCTTGTGGGAAAAAAGAAAAGAAAAGAAAAGAAAAGAAAAGAAAAAGAGTTTTGTGACCTCAGTTTCTTTAAAACGTGAAATTATTCTTGGAATTTTTTTTTTCTGCTTCAAAAGGCTTTATTTTTACTTGGTCCAAGACTTGAGAGGGGCTCCAGGGCGTTACAAAGCTGCCTAGTGGCTTCTTGAGAGGTTCGGGTGAAGGTCCTGAGGTGGGCTGGTGCACAGCAGAGGTGGGAGCCCCTCGGAAGGAGAGGCCTCCTAGTCATGCTTGAGAGTTAGCCGCTCAAAAAGGTACTCACCCAGAGATGCCTGGGGCTCATTAGCCAACCTGCGGAGGTTGGTCAGGTGTTTGCCCATCTTCTTGATGACCTTCACCTCCTTATCCAGGAAGTGGTTTTCAAGGAAGTCACAGAGATGAGGATCTGTGCGGGCAGAGCCCAGGGAATGAAGATCCAAGAGGGCCTGGTTCAAGTTCTTCTCCAAGGCCAGGGCAGCTTCCATGGCCTCCTGGGTTTTACCCCACTCATCTTGAGATGGCTTCTGCACATCCTGAAAGAGTGCACGGCCTCCGCGATCGCTCTGCAACTTGTAGGAGGCCCGCAGGTGCAGGTTGATCAGGCGGTTCACGGCAGCCTCCACTTCGGTGGAATAATTCTGACGAATCTGGGAGGTCATGGTTGAGACGCAGTCTGGAGCTACCCGCAAAGAGACGGTGCTGGCTGGTCCTGGGAGCTGAAAGGGGCGAGGTGATGGTCCCGGAGGCTGCGGCTGCAGATGAGGAGCGGTGGAAGCTAACAAAGGGAGGCCCTGGGTCTGTTCCGTCCAAACACTGTTGAAGCAAGACACAGATCCACGGGATCTCCGAAGGCTGCTGCGGCTCTTGGAATGTTTTTAATGCTCCCCCTAGGTGTGGTAGATAGGAGTGAGTTTATATTACTCATTATTGCTTGCTATTGGTATTCAATTAAGTCTTTGAACATCCTTTATATGCCTCCATGTTTTTGCCAAGTGTGGTTTGTATTTGTGATTGTCCACAGCTTCAACTCAAGGGAACTTTACTCACGTGTCTTTGCTTAACCTTCAGTGTATCAATTTTCTAATGTTTTGAATAAAGCTGTCTGTTGCATGGAAAAAAAACAAAAACAAAACCAGTGCTGCCTGGGTGACTCTTACACTGCCACATTTGGCTGCCAGCATGAGGTGTAACCTTAGCTACCCCTAGAGCACAGCTTTTGTGTGTTCTCATGAAACACTTCCCAAAAGAGTTGACCTCAATGATGCTGGTCACATCTTTAATTAATTAATTAATTTGGTTTTTCGAGACAGGATTTCTCTGTGGTTTTGGAGCCTGTCCTGGAACTAGCTCTGTAGACCAGGCTGGTCTCGAACTCACAGAGATCCGCCTGCCTCTGCCTCCCGAGTACTGGGATTAAATGCGTGCGCCGCCACCGCCCGGCCCCTGCTGGTCACTTCTTAACCACTGCTAATTCCTCAGCTCTAGCTGGCCAGCATCTAGTATCCAGCAGATCAAACGTTTGACTTTAGTATTTCTAAGATTCTGCTATCCCGAGCCCCAGCTAACCACAACTACAGAATTTCTTTAAACTTTTCTCTGAGACTTCACAAGCCAGGCCTCCATCTTCTGCATTGCTCTCAGTATGTTTATATTCTAAGCTCCTATAGAATAGCTCACTAAGCATTGAATACCTATCATCTATCTATATCTGTCTATCTAGCTAAGAAGGGTGTGTGTATGGGGTGCAAATACAACTTGCAGGGAAAATTAGAAATCGGTTCTATTCTTCCACCTTATAAGTTCCAGGGATCAAATTCATGTCTTGAAACATAGCAACAAATGCCTTTTATCTACTGAGACATCTCATGTCTCCTTCTATGTAAAGGCTTAATTCTTTGACAGGGAATCTAAATAATAGAAAATCTAGCTTCCCCATGGGTGAACAAGGGATTAACAGGCATGCAAATTGCATCTCCAGAGACAGGGCTTCTGCTCTGTTTTGACAACCTTTTCCCTCTTACTGTCTGGGTCCATGGTAATTACTTCTGATGACCTTAATGCTTAGGACAGTAATGGCCTTGTCACATATTTAGGCATAGATAACACAGTTGGGAAGAATTTTTTCCCTTTCTAGGCCTTACTGTGTAAAACCAAGAAGAAAATGCCATGTCAAATTTATGTGCAGATATAATCAAATAATGTTCAATGAAACACTCTGGTACTATACCCAATTTATAAATACATGAAACATTTTCATTAAGTCTGGACCAGATATTTAATTTACAATAATAATATAAATCACAAGCTCTAAAGAATTCCTTACAAGTTCCAGATATTTGTATCATTGTATTTCAATTATCCTTAAAATGATCAAAACACATATTCTGAATATATAATTTTTTGAAGTACACAGTATAACTTTCAGGATGGCAAAACAGATAATATTTATCTCATTTCATTAACTTAGTAGGTATGCTTATTGTGTTAATAAAACTAAATATATCCATAGAATATGCTAAACTAGAGGTAAAATTTTAGGGGATAATTCATTTTTCATTCCATATAGAGCTAGCCACAAAATTTGAAATATTTGAAGATGTAATAAAGGTAAAATTTCAAGTTCCTATTCTCTCTCTGAGTACATTAAGTTCATTCGAGAATAAAACAGTTAATTCACACTTACCAAGGCAACTTTAGTTTTTCTAAAAGTTCAGGGGAAACATAAAGAAAGATTGTAGCTATTGTGCTGATGTTAAAAATCATTCTTTTTTTAAAAAAAATCATTCTTAAAATTAGATAAAGAGAGTAACAAGATAAAAAGGATACAGCAGACACAGCTTATTCTCTAGTTCTTTTCTTCATTGAACCAAAACTCCGTCTACCTTTTAAGCAATCCCTTCACCCCAAACCTCATGTTCCTCAAAGGAAGTCTACTCTCAGCTTTTAGAGTTGCCCTCATGACTATAAGGTGACTCCAAAGTTTCTGCCAGTTATTTGTTCTGAAAAAGGCAAGAGATTTACAGCGTAACACCACACCTTCAGGCTCTTTTATGAGAATTATTTTGGAAAAGTATTTGACTTCTTTGAGAAGCTTCCTAAAACAACCTGTCCCCCCATTGCATTGATGCGACACTGCTTTGTATGAAACAAAGCCACACCATACAAAGAATCTTAACACACTGGCACCATATCTATCCTGAGGAGACCATAACACATGCATGAAACTCCTGACAAGTATAGATAAGGCCAAAGTTATGGAACTCCTAACCAATGCGATATAGTCAAACATCTTAATAAATCAGCTAACACATCTCAAAAGGTACTTGCACTGTGTTCCCATTGCTTACAATTCAAAAGAATGTTCTTAGATACAAAGATTGAAGGCAAAGTCATCTTTCCTACAGTTACTAAGCTATGCACTATTTAAGTTAAAGTTTTTTTTCTAGAATACTGTCGTCATAAGCACATATTTTAATGGACTATTTGTCTATATGAAGGCGTATATCCTGACTGAAATCCTGGCATATTATCACTGGCATTTACTAGCACGAACTCATTTGTCAGATGAGTCATCACCTAGAAATAAGGATCATTTCCTTAGTTAAACAGAAATGGACTGAGTACCTACAATGTGCCCAATACTACATTTGCACTGTAGCTGCAATAATGAACAACATGGACTAATTTCCCAAGTTTATATTCGAGAAGGGGAAACAGAATATGAAATATTGGTAAAATACATGGTATGCCAGATGGCGATGTTAAGAAGTGAAACTATATAGGCATTTAGATTCAGGGTTTGAAAATGAAAAGGAAGTTATTTGAAAGAGTCAAGGTAAGCCTGCAACAGGTTTGGGAGAGCAAGGAAGATGATGGCTATTAAGTGCGGTGAGCAGCATAGCTACAGGCAAGAGAAGTTAGAAGTAGGGTGGGCAAAATGTCCTGGACCTGGAGATAGAAGCCTTCCTGCTCCTCCAACCCCCACTGGTCTCCAGGAATGCAGCAAAAGTGGCCTGCATCAGCAGAGGGTGGAAGAGCAAGAGGAAGTGGGAAATGGAACCTGAGCCAATTTGCATTTAAGAATAGCTCCAGTGGAGAACAGACATGCAGACTTTTAGGACAGGTCTAGTCACAGGTACAATTTGCAAATAAAGCCAACAAAAAATGTTGATGGATGAAGCGTGGGGTATACAAAGATGGCTCAAATGTTTAGACCCAAATAGCTAGATGGATAATACTGACGTTAACTGAGAAGAATGAAACAGCAGAACAAACTTCTATTGGAACTTTCAGAATTTAGTTTTATACTGCAAAATTTTGAGCTGTGGATTACATATCTAAGTGAGATGTCAAGATATTTGTTGTGTCTATGAGTCAAGAATCGAGAGTAAGAGAAGCACTCAAGACTAAATTTAGAAACACTGTTAAATTTTAAAATATAAATGACCTGGAAAATAAAGGTGAGTTATAAAAATAGGAGGAGATGGAAATAGAGTTGGGTGTAAGTGTGGGTTTAGCACGTGTAATGACGTGGGTTGAGTCACCACCAACAAAAAAAAAAATAGGAAATAAGAGACCCAAGGACTGAGCTTTAGTGGTACAAGACAGCTATATTTAGTTTGAGGTAAAGGGTTCTGGAAAGCTGTTGTAACAGACAAGATCTCCCAACCACAGGATGTACTGCCATGGTCTGTAAAATTTGACAAGTATTTGATTTCTTAAACAGATCCTTTAGGTAGAATACATGATAAGATGACTATTTGCCATTGTGTCTATTCTCTACTGGAAGGCAAATCTAGGAGCTGGGCACAAAGGCTCCTTTCTGCTCACTGACTATGTGTCTGGTACTCTATACTCTGTCCCACAGTGACTTCAGTGTTAGGAAACCACCAAGAAGGGCACAGCTGCTTTTGACCTCCCAGCAAGAGCAAGGTATAGATAGATCACGGATTCCTTCCCGCATCTCCAGGTCTGATGAGGAGCTAGAGAGATTTATTCCCGTGATGGTGTCACTTGGAAGTTGACAGCATCATTTAGAAGGAAGTGATTCATAAGTGGTGTCCAGTGATGCCTCCGAACTCATTAAATATAGAATATATTTTCAAGTACTTTCTAATTACATTTTCTGCTACTATTGTTAGACTTCCTACAACAAAGCTTCTCAAGGACATTAGCAAATTCCTCCAAGCCTTTCTTATTTTCACCACCTATTATTCATTATCCATTGACTGAAATCTAAACAATCTGTGCCTACTGCATAACTGTCGTCATGGAAATATACCTTACTATATCCCAACACACACACACACACACACACACACACTTTTTGAATCCCTATGCATCCCAACAGGCTCTAATGGGATATCCCTTTGTATCCTATTGAACCAGTTAAATCTTGTGCTCAAGGGATCTCACCATATGCACAAATAATATCAAGGAGATCTAATGGTCTTTACAAAATCACTTTTGTCCTGAAGAAAGAATCCTTTCTTGAGCTGATATTCACAAAACTCAGGATTGGGTTGTGTTTTAGTAACTTTTACAATAGCTATGATAAAATATTCTACTTATTATTTAGTGAACTTAATAATTATCAAATTTATTTTTCACAATTTCTCACCTGTATAATGTATTCTGATTGTTTGTACCTCCACCTTCTCTTATCACTCTCTTCTTCCCAATAAGTCCCATCGCAGTAAGACCTAGAGCCAAATGTGAGAGATTCCCCTATGAGTTTTGGTCCAGAAGGGTTCAGAGCCCCCTCTCCACAAAAAAACACAGGATGTTTCTTCTGCTCTTG